CAGCCTCTATAATTTCCTTGGAGAAGGCGGACGACTGTTCTCCAAGTCTTAGCAACCGTAGTTGCCAATCCAAAGGTTGGACGTTTCTTGCCGCCTGCCCCCTAAACAAAGGAGGCTGCAACAAATATTGTTGTTGCGGCACGTATGGCTGGTGTGGCTCATGCGATGCTGACTGGTGTTTATGGGATCCAGACCGACGGGAGGTGCCGCGTGTATGGCTCTCATAATTTGTTTTTGAATACCTCATGGAAGTATTTTGCAAACTGTCTTGAAAATCGGAAGTAGAGGTCGACTCTGACAATCGGTCACTCTTCTTCTACTCTAGCAACAATCGAGCATCTGAGTAAGTTTTCTTTGACCCATCCGCTTGAACATGACGGATGGGCTTTCTCTTTACTGGTGAAGGAAAGCGATACTTTGTTAGATCGATCACTGGCGGCTCCCACTTCCTAGACTTAGGATAAGGGGGTCGCCTCCCGACCCTGTACTGGCTTCTTCCTCCCAGACTGGGAGGGTCTTCTAGCCGACTGCCCCTTGGATAGAGCAGGCGTCTTCTTGTTGATGAGATCATGAATCTCCCCTTTGAAGCTATTCATGAAGGTCATGAGTTCACCTCCAGTGATGGGGGCAGATCCATCGACCGCCTGTTGATGATCAAGCGGCTGACCGGCTGGTTTACTAGAACCAGCCAGGCAAGTCTGGCGCTCCTTCCTTTCGGAGGAACGAGTTCGTCGAGCTCTTAGGGTCCCGTCGGGGGCCGTGTGAGTCTCAACCTCAACCTCATCTTCAGTATCCTGGTCCGTCTGAATAGGGGATCGTCCATGGGACGCTTATCACTTTGATTCGGTACAGACTGTGATTCCATCTCGAAAGTACTCTCCCCACAGACAGCGCCAAAATGTTTTGGGGTTTTCTGATGTCCTGCGGGAGAGTTACAATTCCGGTTGGATCCGTGCGCCTGTACCTGCAAAATAACGGAGACTCCTTGTGGTGGGAGTTCCGCCTCCGACGATCAAGTTAGTACTTGCTTGAGGAGTGAATAGTGCGGAAAAGTAAAGGTTGGAAGATCTGGTTCCTCTAGGTGAGGAGTGATCAAAGTGTTTAGGTGAGTGTAATTAAATCTCTTAACCTCCTTTAATCAGGATTAATTAGAGTATTTATAACCTTGGGAAACGTGCCAAATACTAGGTTTAGATTAACCTAGGGCTGACTGGGCTTCCACAAGACTTTGGGCCTAGGTGGCCGGTTTTCCCATTTGTCATGGGGGAGGCCACGTGTCGTAGCATAAGAGGTCCAAGGTGGACTAGTCAATACTTGACACGTGGCAAGCTCCAATTGGTCCATGTGGCGGACACTTGGCAGAGCCTGAATGGTCCACTTGTCAAGTGATGATTGGTAGGGAAAAATCCTCTAATCAACAGTTAGAATGCATGGTACTTATATAAAATCAAATAACTAAAGACCAAATGCTTGTTATAAATTTACATTTTACATCAAATATGAAATTAAAATCTATTTCTAAAAGAGAACATTTAGTATCTTAAAGTATGCATGGTCTTATTATGACATGCAAGCAATGCCATACAGTATTGGCTTTCTGAATATTCTTACACCCTTTCCTTTTCTTGTCATTCAAATTTTCCTTCTCTGAAATTTAATTTATCTCCTTTCAATCAACATCTTCATCTATCGTTGCACAGAATTTGCACCACATTTTTAGAGATATTTTTATGTCATTTTTATTAGGGGGATTTAGATGAAGTAAAAAAATGCTTAAATAGAAATTTATATTATGAGAGGAAATATGGGTAGATGATAAAGGGTCAATGAATTAAATATACATTCAATTAGATTGAATTTGAAAGATGAGGGAGCAGAGGAAAAGATTAAGAAATTCAAAATGTTTAAACATGTTGAATTAAAGAGGATGTTACAAAATTATTAGAGCTATTGATACATAAATGGGGGAAGATAGAAAAGTTCTATAATAACTAATGACATATAAAGAAGGCCAATAAAAGAACATGATTATAAAGAAATGTAAGAGACAAAGACACATGGCAAAATAATATAATGAAATGTAGAAAGAATGGAAGACATGTGTCAAATGGGGTTTGTATTTTTAAATACTAAGTATAGGTTTACACATATCAATGGCTAATAAATAATTAAATATGCAAAACGACACACGGCTATTATACAAAACCGTGGAAAAAAGTATAAATTGCCAAAAGCACTTATAATCATATTTATCTATAGAAAACAATCAAACTAAAGAAAGGGTAGATTTAACAAATTAATGCATATCAAGTTTAAATTTTTCGATAATCAATAATCAATCAATCAATAAGAGATTAAATTTATATAAAGAGGAGTTTTTTCCCGAGTTTTTAAAGAGCCACGTAGGATTAATTTTCTTAACACGCCATGTAGGATTATAAATGTTAGTTATAACCAATTAAATAAGAGATTTGTAAATTCTTTTAGAATTAACTAATTCAAATGCCACATAAGCAAAATTGACGAATGAGATTTTAAAGTTTAAATTAATTAAATATAAATTACTATCTTTCGAGATCAAGAATTTTATCTAAATATCACAATTTATTTTAAAATAAAAATATTAATTGATATACTACGTACAACGAATAAAATTTATTTTAAAAATAAAAACAAACCGTGCATCGCACGGGATTCATCTAGTAAATACTAAAAGACACACCAATAATGACACATGTCATCTCCTATTGTGTCCTTAGTTATTAAAATCTTTTGATTAAGTAAACAATATATATATATATATATATATATATATATATATATTACATATTTCATATTAATATATAGTAATTATTATATTTAAAATAAAAAGATTTCACCAATCTTTCTATAAAAAAGTTAGACAACTATAAACCAAAAATCATATTCTTAGAATAATTTGTGACCTGTTTCACAACAAGAAAAAATATTACTCACACTTTTTGCCTACTTTTGTTTTAGTTGTGTATAGAAGCTACAATTTAATATAAAATGCAAATACCAAATCAGCATATCACATACTTTTATTATTCCTCGACTAAATTTATGATTATAATACTTATCAATCAATAATCTATAATTATATATAACTATAGATCACCGTGCATGGCACGGGGTCTTACTTAGTTACAATAAAATAATAGCGGTACATTTTTATTTCTTTAATTTCACATAATCTTGATCACATAAGTGAATATCTAATCGTGTCTCGATTTTATATGTACTCCCTCTGTTTTTCTAAAGCATCGTTTTTGATATTATAAAATCCTAATCAATTTTTGGAGTAGAGAGAAATAGAGAGAAGAAATAAAGAGGACCATGTGATATGAGCAAATTTAAGGTTTTGCGTGAGCCCGGACTCACCATGAGTATAATGTGTCTGACAATGATATTCTAATACATGACAATAATAATTAATACTTGACAATAATTAATAATCTAATACCAAACAATAATAATCTAATACCTGACATTACTTTCTCCTTCAGACCCTCTTCTTCTTTCATGACTACAATATTTTTCTCTCTCCTCATTACATCCATGAAAACCCCTCAAGATTGGGATTTTCCACATTAAATCAAACAAAGCATCTCTTACACTCAGAACAAAGAATAAGAATATAATTGAACATTCTCGAATGATTTCTGTAGAAATTGCTTAATTATAAATTAATTCTTTAATTGCGTCGGTCCAAAAACTTATTCCCACATTACTGTCCACGTAGGACTGGTACAAGGTTCTGTTTTTTTTTTTTTTTTTTTTTTTTTTTTTCCTGGTTCAGGAAAGAACCACTAACGCTGATATCGGTTCTATTGTATAAAACATCTATCACTATTAATGATTCTTAGACAAGAACCGCAAATGGCATTAGCAGTTCTTGTAATTAAATAGTGCCACACTTATATTTCTCTTTCAAATTCCTTCTAATTTTGCTCTACGAAAAAAGGAAAGCAGTTGATGATCACCCAAAACCCAAAGTAGCATTTGAGTAATGCATATGGACTTTAAATTTGAGTAAATAAAATTTTGTATTGCATTTTTTTCTATTTTTTTGTCGCAGGTTCTTTTAGGCATTATGCCTTTTTATTTAACAGGTCAATATAGTTGTAATTAACTGTTGGCAGGCTCACAGGGTAAAACCGTTTACGTCTTTAGCGGTTTTATACATAAAGAACCGCTAATGACGTTAGCGGTTTATATATTAGAACCGCTAATGACGTTAGCAGTTCTTTATGTATAAAACCGCTAACGGTGTTAGCGGTTCTTTTCTGAATCAGAAATTAAAAAAAAAAAAATTAACGAGCCTTCTACCAGTCCTACGTGGACAGTACCATGGGAATAAGTTTTTAAACCGACACAATAAGGAAATTAATTTATATTTTATCAATTTCTAGGGAAATCGTTCCATTCTCTCTCCTCATTGCATCCAAAACCCCTCTTTTCATTCAACTCCATAAGCAACAACATTTAACATTCTCTCTCCTCAGCTCCTACACAATAATGGCGGCGAGGCCTGAGCTATTAGCACCGTCGGAGATTTTCTACGACCAATCAGAAGCTCGCAAATACACTTCTCGAATCATCGATATTCAGGTCCCTTTTTCTCTCTCCTCCACTTTCCCTTTCTCCCCCCTTTCAATATCAATGTCTTCTCCACTGAAAAATGCTATCGAAAACGCCAACAAAGAAACCCAGAACAAAGAAGACAAAAGTGGAAGTGGTGGTGGAGGAAGACGGTGGAAGTAGGTAACGAGGTGATGATGGTTGGATTTCGATTTTACAAGAGTTGATGAATGAATGGTGTTGTGAGTGTTGGCGGCAGACTCACGGTGAGTCCGTCTCACCCAAAACTTTACCTAGATAAAAAGAAAAGTGATGTATTTAAATCGAAACTTACATAAAAAAAAATAAAAAAAAAATAAAATAATAATGCTTCTAAAAAACGGATGAGGTAAAAGAAATTCATGCACAGGGATATAAATGTTTTTTATACGATAACCCAGGCTCGGGCCTAAAAACCAATAGCAAGTACTTGTTAAACTTGCTTCCTTTCTATTTTCTAGTTCTACTTTCACAACTATTACTATCGTTGACAAATCTTGACCACTTGGAAGATATTAAACGAGGCGAACAAAACAAAAACCTAATTAAATAGATTACAATGAAAAGATTACAGAACCCCAAGTCTGCAACTTTTAACGAGGTTACATAAATGAATCTATGTTACATAAGACGCAACCTTTGTACGCTTCACACTGTTCTCAGGTTATCAACAGCTCCATGCAAAGAGGATGTTATGCATCACACGGGTTATTCAGACTTGATTGCAAAGAGCTTTGACCTTTTATACAATGCAGATTTGCTAAGAGTATTTGTTACAGAGAGCAAAGAAAAAAAGGTACCCAACAATAGCAGGAATCTAGAGCACTAAAGCATACATTTTGATGTTTAAGCCATTTTACTATGATGCCCCGACAGCAGAAACCCAGGAAGCATAAATCCCACTTTCATTCACCCTGCAAATAAGAGACGTGATGCATATCAGAAAAATTTATACCATGCTCATGAGTAAGTCACCTCATATTCAAGTCACTCTATAAATTCAAATGTAACTCAAGTCTCCATCATACTTCGTATGTTTCATTAAGGCGTGGCATTTTTAACCATATAAACGACAATCATTTGTCCCTACAGACTTAATCATCAACAAAGAAATCCTTTGCAAAAGAAGAAGAGGCCATGGCCAACGAATTAACATCTTAGTACTCAAGTGGCCACATACAAAAGAGGAGTTTTCCTTTCCTTATTGATCCTTACTCCTAACTATGATAGTCCTCGTTTCCATAAAGTCATTCAGAAGAGGAAAAAAAGCTGCAGTATCATTTTCAGTCAAGCAGTTACAACTTTACAGGAATTAACCCAGAGTTTCTTTAGGGGAAGAATCTGATATCAGAGATTTTGAACTCTAAACTTCAAAGTTGCACAAGAAATATACTGCATAGTTCTGACCCTAGAAGTGAAGATAAGTATTTCTAGATGAAAACACCAAGGATCGGAGCCATACAGGCAACTCTGGAACACTGAAGTGAGGGTCATCTTGAAACAATCCTCCCAAAATAAAGTTCAATAATTAGTGGTCTAAACCCTAAGAATATTTATCAAGTTCATAACTAGGTGTAACATTCACAAATTCACCCTCAATAAGACTAAGAATATAAATTTCAAAATATTACGCAAGAGCCACAAAATAAGCATCATAAGGTTGTATGAAGAAAAAAAATAAAACATCAAAATGGGAAATGTAAAGAGTTGTCTTACAGGTACATGTCATCCAAATTGATCTCTGGAAAGAGATTAACAAAAAATCTGAAGCCATCTGGACTAGTATCCCTGCAAAGCAGACCTGACAACGGAATTGAAAGGTTAATACCAAAATAGATCAATGCCATAATATTTGGCAAGAGCATACCTTTACTTTCAGCAGCAAGAAGATGCTCCTTGGCCATAGCTGGAGCTATCTCAAGAGTCATTGCAGCATCGCTTGCACTTATACCAGCTCGGAGGGCTTCAGGCTTCAGTACAAGCGTTCTGATTCTACCAAAAACCTGTATCCAGAAAATGTGTTCTATGAGCAACTGGAACTTCTTGATCCAAGGCATTTATAATAAATGTAGTAAGAAAATTATACTAGATCAGGAAAACAATACTGCAATCACTTAAGCAATATGCATCAAAGCTAATATGGACAGGAAAAGTGAAAAGCAACAAAATTCTATAGAGATTTATCCAAGTATAGCCAGAAAAAATTTAAAGAAAAATTTGTCAAGACCTATCTTATAAAGATATGTTTACGTGAAAATCCACGTTAACAAAATTATTTAAGGACCTACCTTTCAAAGAAAAAAAAAATGTCATACGAAGCTACCTTTGGTTGGATTCCGGCCGTTGACCACCATTTTTGGCATTGATTTTTTTTAAATATATGTTTTATTTATCCCCTTTCCTTTTTTCTTCTTTTACACCCGAATTTGCTAAACAACCAAGTTTTAATACCATTTTTCTTAGGAGAATGAAATTTTTGGGTAAAATGGAGGGGAGAAAAAGTCATCGCTGAAAAAGGTGGTCAACATTTGGGATCTAGCCAAAATGTAGCTTCTTACAACATTGTTGCTTTTAATTTATTTTTTTTAATTTTTTATTAAGTAGTTCTTAAAAAGAACGTGTTGTTTATAAGGTAGTTTATTTTCCAAATTTATAAAATAATATCACACATAAGAAAACAAGAGGAAATTACCTCATCATCACTTTGGGACTTGCTTTGAATGACCATAACACCGCTATCAAACTTCCGCAGCATTATAGGACTGTCATAACAAAATATTATTCTATTAGAAACTCAAAGCATCTACGAGTGAAAAATTCTAATGTTAACGTTATATTGTCCTTACACATCAAGCTTCTCCCAAAGAGTACATGCTTGCAATAAATCATCAGGTGAAATCAACTCTGCAGAGTAAAACAAAATGTTTCTTATCATCAAAGTCACACAATGTTCAAAAATACATGTTATAATAATCTTCCAGAATGTAGAGGATAAAGAAATTCCAAAATAAAACAAATAAAAAACAATTATTTGAAATCTGACCTGTACCACGAGCACGATTGAAAAGGCAATAAACATCAATGAGATTAATCATTCCTCCAGCTCTCTCCAATGGAACCCTGGCAAAGTCTGCTAACTACAAGAAAACAAACATCAGGGGAAAAAAAAATGGCGAGCTGTTTCCTTACAAAAAATAAATAACAATAACATTCCCTTCAGAATTGTTGCTCCAATATATGCACTCTCTTGATCACAAATCAATTACAGAACGATGTAATTTCCTGATAATTGTATATACAGAGACATTAAGTACTGCACATTAGTTTCAAATAAAAAAAAAGTACTGCACATTTGCATTATCCCTAGTATATTCTTGTTTTCTTCTTGCACACTTTGATTCACTATAATTAGAGGGGTGTTCCAATGGAGAGATGGTAGTCAGTTAATGTATAAACTCAATTTCCCAAGGAAGGATGATACAATAATAGAACCTTAGTTTCAATTCAGGTGTATGAGTAAGGTTGGATTCAGCGGAAAAGCCAAATTCTTTCAAATGACACTAGAACAATTACAAGTTTGATCCGTTGAAATAAGTTTCAGTTCTTTGTTAGCACAAAAGGCATTATATCTCTCACTGGTCAATTTTTGTCATATGCACAAGAAAGCAGCAATTGTTTCTCCACATTGCACAGTTCCAGATAGCGTAACTCAAGATTTAAAATCAGCTAGCCCATTCAACAATAGCAATCTTAATAGCTCCTAAAGCCTCAGGCAAGAATGAGACCAGAATCAAAAGCCAGTCAAGTTTTACTCAGCTAAGAGTGTTTTTGTAATAGAGTTTCCAACAGCTGCTAGGACTCCATCAGAGGATATCAATCAATACAAACCTATACTCTGAAGAATTACTTCAATGATTCAAATTGTGCAATGATTGATACCTAAGAGGAAGATGAATCAGAAAGTAACAAAAAAGGAGAGTCTCAATGCATGATATAAGACTTCCATTTCCAAAATCAAGAATTGGCAAAGACAATCAGATAATGGAACCAAACACTGATCCAGCTTGGCCATAAAAACCTAAAGATACCATGTTAAGCAGCCAGACAAGATTGGAAGCCTCAAAAATATTGTACAGTCTCTACAAATACTTGAGGCAATAAGGCGTCCCAGAAAGTTTTCTTCCTTGCATTTCTTAGTCTTATATGATTATACATAGATGAGCATATGAATGTAGGTCGTTTCAGGATTTTTTAGAGATTGCTCATTTGCTCATTGAGTAGGAAATTCCCTGCCACTGATATGCTCCTCCTCTTCTTGATTCTCACGACAGTCTCTTTTGGGCCTTAACTCTCAATGTCACTTCTGTTTGTCTTCTCCTTTCTTTTAGTTTTTATGTTTACCACCATTCTAAGTTCCATCTCTGCTTTTTGGCCTTTCCGGCTTTCCCAATCTCTATCAAAAGTCATGCTTTCCTTTATTCTTGTAACAGGCAAATGACTGAGGTAATCTAATAAAGTTAGACATTTGGGTGCAATAGGAATGAAAACTGTGTACAACAGGGAGGACAAAACAATCAAGGGAAATCATATGAGAAGACCCAAAATTTAGGACAAATTCTTGAAACTGTTGACCATTTCTAAGATAGCACTTTACTGGGAAAATCATCATACTTTATTTTATTTTCATTCCAGAGGTAACACTAAATTGTCAGATAAGGTAGGTTTGAGAGTAATTTTCCCACTTGAAAGCTACACTGAAATAGCAAAGGTAATCTTGAAAATTTTCCCTCAGTGCAAGGTGGTCCTTTTATGGATTTACCCTCATTTCAAGGTTCTCTTGAATTATCAATCAATAATGAATTAATGGTCGAGCAGTTCCCAAAATTCCTAATCGTGTATAAAAATGAAAGAAAGTGATGCCCAAATATCAAACAAACATATACCAACAACCCAGTTAACCCTTGAACAGTTGATGTCATGCATCCACACAACCCCTTGAATTTCTAAGTGCATTCCACAGAGACCATATATTGTGAAAACTTTACTACGAGAACTGAGGGACAATGAATATTTAGGAATTTCCGTATACATAGAACTAGGTTTGCTCAAGGCTACTTTTTACTCATTGCTCATTTGGATGGCACCAAATGAGCAAAATGTATTTCCAAACAAGCAACAAAAATACCAGTGGATACACCTAGCTCTAAGCGTACATGAGAACACAATTACCTACGTGGATGTGAATTGTGACTAGTTTGAATTTGCCTTTTCTCTATATTTTGAATCTATATAGCAATTCAAAAGAGTCATTACTATTATCAAGCTTTGTTGTTAAAATCACCAAGTCAGCAGCAAAAGTAACAAGTTTAAGTTTCAAGAGAAGTCTTAGAGCACATGGAAGCACTTGCATAACAAAGACCATCGTAAATTGAGGAAAAAATAGGTAAATATTTCGTTAATATGACTCTGCTATTCTACAGGACTCTTTTATATCGTTGAAGCATGCTAGATTCATGCATGGAGTTATTCTCGGCTACAATTAAGCAAAATCTTTTTTCTGTTTGATAAACTACATTAAAGCATTCTTGACAAATTGCAAAGTTGCCAAATTCATTAGAGTGAAAATAAAATGATCAATTTCCCACGCTACTTTCCAGTATAAATTTTGTCCATCAAAGTGTATAATAACTAAACATGCATGCAACTGATGCAAGGACCCAAACTCTTATCAACAAACACAAATTAAACATAAGATGAATATTGCAGGGACACAAAGACAGCCATTCTATATAATTAAAATCAAAGTAACATCATCATATTAGTTTATCTGTAATTCAAAAGACGACAACCTGGCGAGACAACTGCTGATGATACAATGCCCCAGCAGATTCCTTTGTAACTGGCGATATGATACCAACACTGAGCAACAATTCTTGCACATCTTCTTTGGAGCTCATCTCCTCATCACTTGCATTACTGGATTGACTAGTTGGCCCTGCCAAAAGCTTTTGCCTCATCCTCTCGGCCAACTTTACCATCTCCCTCGCTTTACTCTGGAAAACCCAATATTCTGGAGTCAAGCCAAAGTCAAACTGCATCAAAAAATCAATGTTGTGCACTCTAACCCAATTCCTAACCTCTTCTAGGTGGCACACTAAGTTACTCTGAAGTAATGTTGTCAAATATTATAAGAATGGTAATTCCCACTTCATTTCCAGCCATATACACGGAAAAATCTTCTTAATATAGCCAAATTCGACACTAGGATATTTACCCATAATGGGCACTCGAGTTGAATAACAAAGAGTACAACCAGGCTTTTAAATCATAAAATTTCTATGAATTCTTGTTCATTATTCTTCCCTATTATAAACTCATAAAACTACAAATTCTTAGAAAACTACCCATCAATCACTTTTCAGATGGGTATTTTGATCAATGTATATCCTATGCATTTTTGTTCATTATTCTTCCCTATAATTAACTCTTAACTCATAAGACTATAAATTCTTAGAAAATTACCCATTAATTACTTTTCAGCTGGGTATTTCGATCAATGTATTTCCTATGCATTTTTGTTCATTATTCTTCCCTATAATTAACTCATAACTTCGTAAAGACAACAAAACCTTGTAAAAAACTACCCATCAATTGTTTTTCAGATGAATACATTGATCAATGTATTATTAAAAACAATGCTAATTTTTTTTCATCAATAACAATTTAACACCAATAAAAGAATAAAATTTAGACAAAAGGGAATTAAAATATGAACTAAATTATACCATTAGAGCATTCAAATCCTGAAAAGCATCCTGCAAAGTCTTATCAGTACTCTCCCACATCTCCTGCTCTTTCCTCAATATCCCCGCAACACCCACAACCGGCACCCGAATCGCCACGCTACTACCCTCCCCCGCCCCCGCCTCCGCTGCCGCTACAGCACCAGAAATCTCCCACGCTCTACCCTTCCACGCCGCCCAAAACTTCTCAAAAAACAACTCATGATTATCCGATTTGCCCCTCATCACCAGCGTCACCGTAATTGACCCCATTGAAGGGTGAGAAAGGTCAAATTTAACCCTTGGACTGGAAATAGAAAGCATAGATTTAAGGGATTTTTTAGGGGGGTGAATGTGAGTGATATAAGAGAGGGCGATTGAAGCGGTGTCGGAGGATGAAGAAATCCAGATGAGGCGGTGAGTGGTGAGAGTGAGGATGCCGGAAGTGTAAGGGGAAAGAGTTGGGTGGGTTGTGTAGTCGGGTTCGATGTCGATGTTCGATAGGTAGAAGCATTCTACTTCGTCACCGGTAAGGATTGGTCTTTTACTTGATGTTAGCTCCGCCACTGGTAGCCATTTTCCAGCCATTGTTGGGATGACTTTTTTCAGGTGGATGGAGGTTTTATTTGATCAGTGAGTTCCGGGATCATGACTCGTGTCAGTCCCACGTGCTTTGGGGTTAGTTAGGCCCTGTCCATGACTCGGCCCACGAATTGCGTGTCGGGCTGAAGTTTTTAAAAGGTTGGCTCGTGCACGGTCCAGGCTCACGTGCCATCATGCCGGGTCGCGTCGTACCTGCGTGCCTAAGCAAAATTGCATTGATTTTAGCATGTTTTGTCGTATCGGGCCTGATTGTGTCGTGCCTTATTGCGCTTCTCCCAAATAAGGGCAACCCAGGCCCGGCCTACGGCCCACACAGACGGTACCGTGCCGTGCTTTTTTTTGTGCTCGCGCGGCTTATTTCATGCCGGGTTTCGGGCCGGCCAGCCCAGTGCCATATTTAAGTGTAACTCCAATGGCAAACCATATCACCTAAGATTACAAAGTTATTCTTCCTTCTAGCTAATTTATACCACATTGGTTAAGTTACTATCAATTTTTTTTATAGATATATTTTTTTTTTACTTTTTAATTCCCACAAGCATCTCAAATTAGCTAATTTTTCTTATACAAGTTAACTTTTTTTTTTTTTTTTTTTTTTTTTTTTGTGGGTATTGAAGCAATTGGAGTTGGTCTAATGAATGCAACTAGGAATTAGCTAATTTGTGTCTTTTTATATGGAAATAATAACTCCAATTCCTACGAGCATGTTTTCTTTTTCGAAAAAAATTGGATGAGTCGAACTCACGGTGAGTCAAATATATCTGACAATAATAATCTAATATCTAACATTAATAATCAGGGGCGGAGCAAAGGGGGGATGGCAGGGGCCCGACCCCCGCAGCTAGGCCAGCCCGCATACGCAAGAGCGCAGCACGCAAGCCACCAATGCGGGCTGCTGCTGCTGCGTATGCTAGCGAGGCCCAGATGTTGCTTGTGGCTGGTGCTGCTATGCTAGCAACCACGCATAGCCACAGCACACGCACGCATAGCATGCTGCTTGCGATGCTCGTGCTAGAGAGGCCCAGCAAGCACTTGCGTGCTGATGGCCTTGCGATGCTGCGGGTGGGTGCAATGCAAGGCTATGGCTTAGCTTGTACTTGTCGCTTGTTTGATTTCTAGTCTTGTCGTATTCCAATTCGACTCGACTTACGACGCTCGATTTCGACGCTCTAAGCTCGATACCCGACGTCTTTGTTCAAAATACTCTAATGACTCATCTAATCCTTCAAATTAATTCATCTTCTTGGATCGGTTATTCGATTGGGGTAGGACCCGAAGGGTTCAGTCAAGATTAAGTTGTAATATTAATTATACATTAATATTACTGATCGGAAGTGGCCTCCACCTAGGCATTCCAATCACTTGACCTCACTGAAGAATTAGCTTTCTAATAATTCCTAACCCTCTATCGAAATAATACACTTGTTGGAAGGACACAATTCCTTTCAATCTCCGACTTGTCCTTCCGGACAAGTGTGTTTTTATTGTATAGCCCATTTCCTATGTCACTTAATGTCTCTTCATGATAAGGTAAGATTCTTCGTCATCCTTATTACGTCCAGAAGTGTTTCTCGATTTCCGAGTTTGACTGTCAATAAGCAGATGATTTCTAAAATTCATCTGAGCACGGCCATGCATTTTCACAGTCTCGCTCTTCGAGAGGCCTTCTAAACAACAAAGACATGTTCCCTATTGTTAATAGGGGGACATTCCCAGTCTTGTATTGTTAGCTTCCCTTACTAAGTGGACCTAGGTGCCCGAGTGTTGGTGTTATAATGTCCTTTTACGGCAGACGTTTGACAACATCAAAACGGACTAGTACTAAAACAACAGAACTTACAATACTCATGGTCGAGGAAAAAGGTTTCGATAGCTATAATGAGAAATATACTTATGACGATTTTAATCTCTTAAAGTATTCTCAAAGGTCGATCCGGTACAGTTCTAAACCAATACATGTGCAAATGATTTATGACAATCATGTTCTCGTAGCACAAGAAACGGTGCTATAAATCATACTACAAATTAATCTCAAGTGGTCATTAATCGTCCATCATTTAAATGACCTTGATTAGGAATAATTTTTCGATTGAAATATTCAATGTTCACTTAACAGGTGTTTCTTTATCCAAGACATGGTCTAGATACCCTGTTTTGAATATTCTCAAATGGACTCATTATTTAATTCTAAACCACAATTAAATAGAAATGGAGTAATAATGAATTTGCAGAAAATTTAATTGCTCCAAAACTTAATGGTTCAACATAGTGTTTTACATTAGAATTCTCAAATTAATTAAAACACATAACAGCGAAATTAAAGCCAATCTCCAACGTGCCTAATTCCCATTGCCTCAATGTGCTTGTTGTGCTTCACTTGAGGCAAAGGTTTAGTGAGTGGATCGGCTACATTGTTGTCTGTTCCAATCTTACAAATTCTGATTTCACCCTCGGACTTCCATTCCCTTATCATGTGAAATCGCCACTTGACATGTTTGACCTTCTAATGTTCCCTTGGCTCCCTGGCCTGAGAAATAGCTCCATTGTTATCACAATAGAGGTCTATCGGACCCTTGATGGAGGGTACAACATCAAGTTCACTAATGAACTTACGAATCCAAACTACCTCCTTAGCTGCTTCTAAAGGTGCCAAGTATTCGGCTTCAGTTGTAGAATCTGCAATGGTGCTTTGCTTAGCACTCTTCAAACTAAACGCTCCTCCATTTAGGCAGAATATGTACCGTGACTGCAACTTGGAGTCGCTTTTGTCAATCTAGAAGCTCGTGTCGGTATATCCTTCACCAACCAAATCATTACTACCACCATAGACCAGAAACTTATCCTTGTTCCTTTTTAGGTACTTTAGGATATTCTTGGCTGCAGTCCAATGCGCCTCTCCTGGGTCTGACTAGTATCGGCTCGTAACACCCAAGGCATATGATACATCCGGCCTAGTACATACCATGACATACATGATCGATCCAATAAGCAAAGCATACGGAATCTCTTTCATCCTTTCTCGCTCATCATGTGTCTGTGGACACTGCTTCTTGCTGAGAGTTATGCCATGAGACATGGGTAGGTGCCCCCTTTTGGCCCCTTCCATGTTGAATTGTGCCAGTACTTTATCAATTTAAGTACTTTAGCTCAATCCAATCATCCTTTTAGATCTATCCCGATAGATCTTGATGCCTTATATGTACTGAGCCTCTTCCAAGTCCTTGATTGAAAAGCACTTCCCAAGCCAAGTCATTACAAACTCTAACATTTGAATTATGTTTCCAATGAGGAATATATCATCGACATATAAGACGAGGAATGAGATGTCACTCCCACTGACCTTCTCGTAAACACAAGATTCATCTGGATTCTTAATAAAACTAAACTAACTAATGGCTTCATCAAATCTCAGATTCCAACTTCTGCTTGCCTGCTTTAGTCCATAAATTGACTTCTTAAGCTTGCATACCTTCCCGGCATTGCTTGGATCAACTAAACCTTTCGGCTTTGTCATATACACAGTTTCTTCCAAAATCTCATTAAGGAAGGCGGTTTTGACATCCATTTGCCATATTTCATAATCGTAATATGCAGCAATCGCTAGGACGATCCGGACGGACTTAAGCGTTGCGACTGGTGAAAAGGTTTCATTATAATCAACTCCGTGAATTTGCCTGTAACCTTTTGCCACCAGTTTAGCTTTGTATATAGATACATTTCCATCTTTGTCTGTTTTCAATTTGAAAATTCATTTGCAACCGATAGGTGTGTAACCTTCGGGCAAATTAACCAAGTCCCAGACTTGATTTTAGACATGGAGTCCATCTCGGATTTCATGGCCTCTTGCGATTTTGCAGAGTCGGGGCTTGTCATAGCTTCTTTGTATGTCATTGGCTCATCTCCATCCATAATTAGGATGTCTTGATCTTCGGTTAAGACAACACCTAGGTATCTGTGTTGCGACCTACGTAGGGTAATAGGTTGAGCATTTGCATTGTCGGTTTAACTTTGCACATTGTCGGTTTGACTCTGACTAATATCAACAGCTGCTTCTAAAGCACTTTGATTGTCAGTTTTGTCAGGTTGACTTTGTTGCTCGTCCTCTCGAACTTCATCGAGTTTGAATTTCCTCCCACTTGTCATTTTGGAAAGGTATTCCTTCTCCAAAAGACACCATCACGAGCAACAAACACTTTATTCTTGGATTTGTTGTAGAAGTAGTACCCTTTGGTTTCTTTTGAGTATCCCACAAAGAAACACTTGTCTAATTTGGGTGAAGTTTGTCAGAAATTAATCCCTTGACATATGCATCGCAACCCCAAATCTTAAGAAAAGACAACCTTGGAGGTTTATTCGTCCATAATTCATATGGAGTTTTGACAACTTTTGACAGAGCTCGGTTCAGGGTTAGTGCCGCGGTTAGAAGTGTGTGTCCCCAGAAAGAGATAGGAAATTCACCAAGACCCATCATAGATCGGACCATGTCTAACAAGGTTCGATTCCTCCTTTCGGACACTCCGTTCCATTGTGGAAGTTTGAGAGGTGTTAATTCTAAGAGAATACCATTTTCTCTCAGATGATTGTCGAATTCGTGGCTTAAATACTCGCCACCTCAATCTGATTGAAGTGCTTTGCTTTTCTTGCCAAGCTAATTCTCAACTTCACCTTGAAACTCTTTGAATTTCTCAAAAGATTCAGATTTGTTCGACATAAGGTAGACATGACCATATCTACTATAGTCGTCGGTGAAGGTGATGAACTATCAATAACCTTGCCTTGCGGGTGTACTCATTGGTCTACATATATCCGTATGTATAAGACCCAATAAGTCACTAGCCTTTTCTCCTAACTTGGAGAATGATTTCTTTATCATCTTGCCTAATAGCACTACTAGAAATAGGCCGATTTTCGATGGACTGTTTCCGACGGACACTTAATTCCGCCGGAAACGTCAGAAGTTCTGATGGATTTTTATTTTCCGATGGAATTAAAATCCGTTGGAATATAAGGGTTTC